TTTCAGACAGAATATCCGCAAACTACGTGCAGTTATTGGATAATATCAAGCCCAGTCGACGGGGATTCTTTTTCGAGGTGGGAACTCCCTACTTTCCAGACCGCCTGAATCAGGGCTGCTGTCATCTAGAGGTTCTACTACGCTGTGGCCCAAACGGTGCTATACGGCATGTTCTTGGCTTTTCTGAAGTCGCGGATGAGATTCAGCAACGAATTTAGGAAATCCCTTGTTTCGCTCGTGATACACTATCAACAGCGTCTTCCGCTCTTCACCCCACGGCTAGGTGCCGTTCCTGAGTTCCCAGACACCTCCCGTTGAAAGCTCGAAGCATCAAGCTCCATCTCGGTGGTGGCGACGTATTAGCGATGATGGCTGAGAGGAGAAGCTTACTTGAGCGACCAGGCATTCTAAGAGTTCGACTGCTAAGAATTTGGTGTCAGTATTGATGGATGTTTGTTCTACTTTTGGCTTCATGAAGGAGTTACGGTCTGATAGAGCAGGCTGTTTCTCGTCGAAGTACACTCGAGAATGCCTTGGTCGACATAATGTTCGAGTTCACCTTATTAACCCTCGGAGTCCTTTCTCGAATGGTTTAGTAGAAAGACGAATGCGAGAGGTTAAACAGGTTTTCAAGTTGTATGGAGTCAGAAGGTCAGGTAGATGGTTTGATCAAGTGCCGAGTGTATTGCGAAGATTAAATAATGTGGTGTTACCGAAACCATTGCATACTACACCGTTTGAGTTGATGTTTGGGCGAAGCTTCGTAGCTCAGCCAGGTCAGCCCGATCAAGTTGAGTCTCCAAATCCCACTGTTGAGGAATGTCAACAGCGAGACGATAACTTGATGATTTCAAGAGAATGGGTGGCGAAGATGAGAGATTTACGTGAAAGAGAGCCGTCACGTTTGCGTCAAGCTTCGGTAACGGCTGGCATGAAGGTCTTGGTGCGTATGGCTACTGGTTGGGTTGGTCCTTTTGTCGTTAAGACAGTTTTACCCGATCGAGCTTCGATTATTATTGCGGATAAGTTTTTAGTGGAAAAGTCGGAACATCGTGCTAATCTGCGTCCTTATTATGGGACAGATGATGTAGTTGCTTTTCTGTGATAATGTTTCTTTGTGATTGATCTAATGATCAATCAGGGGGGGATGTGAAGAAGGTTGTGTGATTGTTGTCCCTATGGAGTCGCTCCTCTTTGTGTTAGCTAAGATATCTAGCGTCAAGCTAATGTTGTAATCGTAATTGTAAGTTATGAGTTAGAATCAGGCTAAACAAGTCTGTCTTGTGTTAACTCAATAAGTGGAATTACCCACCAATACTCAACAGGCTCCCCCTGTGCATGAAGACGATTTCCTCCACTTGCTGTATGAGCCCTTATCATGGTCCACCCCACTGATGGATCAATTTCTATCTTGACGGATCAACGCCCACATCGCGGGCGCTTCGCAGGTTCTCGAATGACTTGTCCGGGATAATTCGCGGTGTGTTTTTGATTCTCTCCGTGAATATCGTGTTATTTGCATAGATTACTACTTCTAAGGAGGCGTAAAACGGGCGGGTGAAACCCCAATGATGGAGAGGGGTGTCCGTCGAACTATCATTAATTAATACCCTCGACTGTTTTTGAACACTACCCTCTAAGGTAAAGCGAGACTCGGACTTTTATGGGTTCGCTAATGCCAATAATTCAATAAAATAACGAATTGCTGACAAAGAACTCGTAGATTGATCCATTAAACTCTGGAACTTGACCGGCAAGACATCTATCACAAATCAAGATGAATATAATACACAGACGGATAGTAGTACAAGAGACATCTGTAGACCAGAACTGCTAGAATGTTGATGATCCACCTCGTCCAGAATCCTACTCCTCAAGAGAATATTCGTTGAGTATTCTTAGGAAGGGGACAAAAATAGAATTACTGCTCACGGTGAGCTGCTCACCACGACCATTCACATGGTGTGAATCGTCCATAACGTGTGGCTCATGCTTTTAGGGGCATGTACAGTGGCCGGAACAGCGACAAGGCGACCAGCAAGACCAGCAAGGATCGTTGAGGCCCCTCAAAGGTGAGGAGAAGCCACTCTCGGATTTGTCAGCCGAGAGGTCACCAACAATGATGTGGCCGAGCGCGATGATGAAGTAAAGGACGCAGAAGAGTTTCATTTTTATAGTCATCGTGAAGACGAGAACGCTGAAACTTGACTTTTACGCTGTTAACACCGCATCGACCAAGATCTGTACTCATAACTTATGCGTTTGAGTCATAAGCTCACAAAGGTTGCGAAGACCCGTCACACTAGGTTACGAAGACCCTTCACGTCACAAACTAGCTT